CAATAAATATATGTATATATTTGCTGTTCTTGGATCTTTAGGATGCCAAAACGCAAGAATTTAACAATTTTTAATCATTTTGAGAAAAAATCACGACCTGAAATTAGTGAGGTGACAGCATCTGGCACCAATGTAAGTTTTTCTATTGAACAGAAATGTGATACTTCCGTTGAAGAAAACGTTTCTAGCATAACAAAATCTTATGAATGTGAAAGTGGCCCTCAAAGTGTTACTTCTCACCCATATGACATTGGACTTTTTTCAGAAGATATTACATGCGAGAAAATATTACACCATAGTTCTTAAACTTAAAAAATCAAATCAAAATTTAACTAAACAATGCTGTCTAAATAAGAAGTCAAAATTGTTAGCTGTCTAAATTAGGGAAATAATAGTGCTTTATTACTTACTCGAATTTCTTTTAGTAATTTTAGAAAATTATGAACACCCCCCTTGAAAAAACTCTGCGTACGCCAGTGAATCTGTGGTCAAAAGGTGGCTTCAAATTGTTCTAATTTCCAATTGCAACAGGGTTTTTTTTAATGATTTTCCGATGTTCATTAATTTTGGGATAGTATTACAAAGAAATTATTGTGAAATAATTATCGTATAACATTAAAGGATAGATCTGTTTTAACTGATTTTTTTTCTTCTTTTTCTGATCGGAACTTATAGCTGATGTTTTAACTGATTTTAAACACTCTCCGAACTCACTCTTTGTTTTTAACACTTTAGTGCGACGTAAATAATGTACCTAACTCGTTTCCAGCACTCCAAGTTACATTAGCATTTAAACTATGAGCCTAGCGAGTTTTAATTAGATATTAATTTTCCTCAAAATATTCTGGTGTTCAATTTTTTTTTAAACTTTTTGAACCGATGCTGTTTCTATGAGAGCTTAACATGGCACGAATGCAATGAAAAAAACATTCTTAATATTGCATGCTAACAATTTAACGTAGAGGGATAAAAAATATCGCATATATATGTATTAGCAAAGATATAGAGAAAACATATATAAGTTCAAAATATAGAGAGATTAATAAAAAGAGAAATTATTAAAATAAAATGAAAAATAATTTTTAAAAAAAGCTAAAAAAATACATATTAGAAAGCAGACGATTATATCCACAAAAAGGAGTGTGAGTGCGGATATAATCGTGTGAGCTGATAAAGAGAATATATATTTTCATTTTTCGACTTTTAAATATATATATTTTTTAGCATTTTGCTTAATTATTTCATTTTAATAATCTCTCTTTTCATCAATTTTTAATATTTTCCATATTTGCTCTATATTTTGAACTTATTTTATGAGTTCTATATACTTACAGCTTATGCGCAGTAAATAAAACTTATTTTTTCTTTATCCTTTTTTCCCTGAGCAATCAAGTTTTAAATATAAGACTCCTCTAAAATTCCATCTCTCAGGAACTATTCAACGAATTTCGCTCAGATTTCGTATTTGGCCATGCAAAATTAAATACACTTTAAAACTACTTAAAATGGTATACAATAAATATAAATGGCTTACAATTCAAACTTTTTTAGACAATTATTAAATAAAATAATAAATATTTACCAACATTTACTACATTATCTTTGAATAAACGAATTTTCTAACTGTTGGCAAAATTTTTTCAATTTGCTTAACGAAATACTCAAAATTAACATTAAGGGGGCAAAACTTTGGTCCATATTTCCCAAATTGCGGCTACCCTCCATAACTAAGTCCACAACCATTAAGAATGAGTCTTAAAATGTGAAGATCCACTCATTAGATCAAGAGTTATTGAGAGTGACCAGTTTTGTTTTTTGTTTGTGCACTGTACAACGATATGCAGGAACAGATTGCCTCAACGAGTGGTGAATACATTTAACAGAACATTATGAAAATCACGCTTTTTTACGTGTTTATAACAACAAGGGACATGGCAAAAAAATTTCTTTTTAAAGAAGAGAAAATTGGGCACCTTTTACAAACACCCAGTATAAAAAACACCTTTCAAAGCTATTAAGAAATGGAAATAAAAAATGAGCACAGTTAAGCACTTTTTAAAAACGCTACGCACTCTGTCCAATCAATATGCCCGTCCAAATTTCTTCAATTGGCAGAAAATGTCTTTAGACAATTTAGGATTGTAATTAGGGCAGATCAAAGCCAGCATCAAGAAAAAGCGACAATGTAACTTGATACGTTTCAGAAATAAAGAAGAAAAAGAGATTGATACGAAAAAGATTTTAGTTCATATTTATTCAAAAGTTCGGTTATAATTTTGCTTACATAGATCTGCTGGTGCCGCCTCCATGTTATATCCCAAAGAAAGCATCATAATTTATTTTTTAAATTCCCTCTACAATTTTTGGCTAATTTGATGCATTATAACACTTATTTCTATTATATTCTAGTAATAGCTTCTTGACATGCTCTATTAGATGGGGGGAAAGAACCTAACTAAACACATTAATCGACATGTAGGTGTAAAATGACAATTATTTGCTGTTTTACAGCACCAAAATTAATTTTTGAATACAAATTTGGCACCATTTTTGGCTAAATAAATAGTATTAGAATTTTGGTGTATTTTGGGGTGGGGGCGGGGGGATGGAATTTTGGAGCAATCGGAGATTTCCCAACTCTTTTATTTAATAATAATAGGTAATTATTTCACTGTAATAATATACAAGTTTCACTGTATATTAATACGGTGAAACTATTTTCCTGAAATTAGTAAAAACCATTATTTTGTTAAGAAAATTTTTTCAAAAATCAAGATTTCTTTATAATCAAATAGGATTTTTTAAAAATATAAATCAGATTTTTAATTTTGTTTTTACATACAACAAAATGCTGACAAAATAAATTATTAATACTTAAAATTATTAAAAACAATGTAATAAGTTAAGCACCTAAATAAAATAGTTAAAATAATATAAATATTACAAAATAATTGCTGAAAAAATTTCTAGTTTTTTATTCATTCAAGCTCAATACTTTCATTAATATTATAGACAGCAAATTATTGACTATAATGAAAACTTTTTTCAGAATTTTTCTATTCTATTTAATATTTCACTAAATTAGCAAAATAGTATTAAAAGTAAACCTAAACCTTTTGATGAGTTTACAATAATAGAAACTCATAGAGGATTTTGTAACAAATAAGTTTTCAAATATAACAAATACATTTTAAAATGGTGAAATAACTATACTGCTAAGTTTTTTAATTACATATATGTTCTAGTAAGCTGGTATGCAAACTAACAAAAAGAGCATATCTAATTTTTTGAACTAATCAGATAAGTATTAAGTTTAACAAACTGCAAATAATTTTGCCTAATTTTTTTAAGGTACAGTAAAGCACCGTAATCTGAATGCCGATTTACCAGATTGTTTCAAGTATCCATATGACTCAAAGACCATAAGTTTTCCATCCTGAAATGCAAAAGCATTTTTATTTTACTTTTAGAAAATCTGAAGGGGTAAAAAAATCTCTTCTTTTTCGTTGATTTTGAAAAGAACCTAGTGTTCTTTCTGCCCAGTTTCAATGTGGGTGGCAAGTAAGGTTTGTAATAAAATTTTAAAAACGCCATAGTAATATGCTATAATAGGCACTACTATAATTCCCAATCCTAAGTCTGGAAAAAGAGTGAAGGTAAGTTACTTAAAAACATTCTCATAGGAGATTTTTATAAATGCTTTTATTTTTCATTATCTGGTCTTTATTATTCTGGATAATCAGCGTTCTACCGGGCTTGGAACTCAAATCTGGAGGGAAAAAAAATTGTGTTTTCCCTGTACATATTATACACAGTATTTTAAGAGGAAACACATTTACTGCAATCGTGTATGAGCTATATCGGACTAACTATCAAAGTTTTAACTGCTGGAAATAGTTAAATAATGTTATAGCAAATTAAATAGTTTAGTACAGTTGGAACATCAGTTTTGAATATACCATAGGTTACACATTAAATGGTCACCATTTTTTAAAAAACGAAAATAAGAAACAAATACAAATAACATAAGAACAAAATTCCCTATATTTTTCCAGTTATTTTTTAATTCTCTGTTCTTTCTGCGAAGTGGCAACCCTGCCTACTGTGTATGGCATAGTTGCTAAATAAAATTTTTAAGTCATGCTAAAAAATTTAGCACATATGCGACATATATTTACAGTTACCTTAATTTTATTTTATACAGGATGTGAAGCCAGATTTTTCAACAAAAAAAGCACCTTTTAAATACTTTTAAGCACCCAAAAAACATTTTTAATCACTTTCCAAAAAAATAAAAATCATAATTACGATCTGTGCAGGAATAAAAACTATTTTTTTCCTATTGTTTAAAGTTCTTAATTTAGAAACATAAAATCACTCAAATTCATGATAAAATAACTAATTTCTGATAAATAGTGCAGAGAAAATTGTGAAAATTATGCATTTTTCGTAATTTAGAATGACAATTGACAGGGCAAAGAAAAAAAATCTCTCTTTAAAAGATAAAATCAAGTACTTTTTACAAACCACGAATAAAAAAAAGCACCTTTAAGGGCTTTTAAAAAACGTAAATCAAAAATAAGCACCTTTAAGAACTTTTTAAAAAAGCTATGCACCCTGTTATATACGAATAACATATTACATGAATAACATAGTATACATAGGAATAACATGATATAACAGGGTTCCCACTCTATGAAGAGATTGAAATTCAAGGACTTTTCAAGGACCTCAACAAAATTTTCAAGGACCTTAATCTAAGACCAATTTTAAAAATTATTCTCTTCTATTTTACTAGAAGCAACAATGCTTGTTGTGGCAATAATTAATTTCAAATATAATACCTAAATGCTTTGCCTATATAGAGAGAAGAGAGTATATNAACTACACATCCCCCTAAATTGACCTCTCAAGCATTGCTCAGAAAGTGGTCAACTTTGTAGGCTTCACTGTATTAAAATTTCTGTGAATTCTAATGACCAGTTAAGAAAAGAGAGCAATGAAACACTTATGAAATTTTAATGTTTATACAAACATTAACATGAAACGAGTTACACATGAAATACATTACACATGATACGAGTGACACATGAAAGTATTGATGGACAACATTTATACAAAAGGAAGGGAATATGGAGTTATGTTTTTAAGCTTCTGCATCTTCAAACTGATCTTCATCCATGTCATATTCACCTTCATCTTCCTCATCACCCTCTTCTAGAAAATAAGACAAAATCAATTTAAAAATAAATTTGAACAGAAAAAAATTTTAAAGTTGCGAGCAAAAAATATAATTAGTGGCACAAAATTCTAATAATAGCAACTTATGTACTTGATAAAATAAGCTCTGTAGATTAGAAATGTGTGTGTCTTGAAGCAGCACTTCGTATGCAATTTAATTGATTTCAAGTAAATCTTAGATGCAGATTGCAAAATACAGCAGATTTGCCCATAAGAGTGCAAGAATCCTTCCCACCAAATCCAGCTCATTGTACGCACAAGCGAACCCCAAGTATTTCATCAAACATGTAAAATGATTGCCGATTTCATACGTTACGGACTGGCAGTAAGCAGAAATAGATTGTGGTTGGATGAATTGTGAAAATGTTGCATAGAACAATGTAAAAACCATGCATTTTACATAATTCGTGGTAAAAATCAACATGGTATGGAAAAAAATCTCATTTCAGAAAAGGAAAAATTAAAGCACTTTTCAAAAACTTCTAATAAAAAAAGCATCTTTAATCGCTTTTAAAAAAACGAAAATCGAAAACAAGCACCTTTTAGCATTTTTTAAAAACGCCAAGCACCCTGATGTAGGTAATAGCAGTAATGATATATCTAAATGTGATAAAATTCACATGGTTTCAATGACATAAAATGAAAATTCTATGGTTCATAGAATTAAGGTTTAATGTAAATTAAATAAATGAATTCTTTGATGTTTAAAAAAATCTAAAGTAACAAAAAGAAAAAAATGCTAATTCCAAAACCACAATCATACTGAGCTATTTTTTAAACAAAAAACTAAACAAATAATTATAAATTTTATCTATAAGTTACAAAATAATAATATTAAACATGAAAACAAGGCCATATAAAATAGTAAAATGCTTCAAAAATCAATTTAAAAAAAAAAATTATATAACTATCATAACAAACAGTTGATACTTAATACAATAAAGAAACTTCTAAAAAAATAAAAGAATAGATTACCTTCAACAAAACCATTTTCAATGTTGAAGGATGGCATAATTCCTTCATCATCTGAAATAGTTCATAAAGGATGGTATTAAAAAATTATTATTAAAAATTATTAAATTATTATTAAAGATATTAACAAAAATACTAAACTAGTAAAAAAATATATAGTAAAAGTCCTTTAACACTTTCATATGAAATAGTTCATAAAGGATAAATTATATGAACAAAAATAGTAAACAAGCAAAAAATTGCAGTTTCAGTCTAAACTAATAAATATAAACTAGTATGAAAATATACATTAAAAGTCCATTAACTTTTTCATCTGATATTGTTCATAAAGGATAGATTATATGAACAAACAAAAACTCAACTATCAGTCTAAACTAGTAAGAAAACATACGTCGGCTTCGGGTCATATTTTCATTTTTATTTCCTTCATTTTCTTTTTCTTTATTGCTACATTTTTCTGAAATTTCTGCTGCTTTTTAGCACATTTTTTTCAAAGAAGTTTTTTCTATTTAGAATTAAAAATATTTGTGTTTTCTTTTAGTACAGTTAAAGTCTATTAACACTTTCATTGCAGAAATGTCCCATCCCCTGCGCTTAGAGTTCCCTTGCAACACTAAAATGGAACAAAGCGCAAATTCCTTTAGAACTTGTTCAATTTATTTTAAAAATTATTATGAATTGAAATCAATAACCATATTCACTAATACAACACAGTGTTTTCATCATAGAAAAAAAATGGGTGAGAATTTCTCACCCTTTCTCAAAAACAGGGTGAGATTTCAGAAAGTTAAGTGCGATTTCTGAAAACTAAAAAACACAAATAGACTTGAAAAAAAAAATAATTTTTTTTGTTATAATAAATTTTTAACGTCTTCTATTTTTTAAAGCATTGAATATTTTTGGTGCATCATNTCTTCTACTTTTTAAAGCATTGAATATTTTTGATGCATCATCATAGAAGATTTTGCCTTTACAAGGTATTTGTCCATCTTGCATAAGTNAGGATTTAATGCTTGACAATCTGTGAGAGCACGGAACATCACATCAACTTTAAAAATAAAAAGCACAATATTACCCTAAAATAAATCAATTCTAGAAGATAATCTAAAGAAACAGAATTTTTCTAAACCATGTTTTAAGTACAAATATAATTCTCCTTCTCAACACTTCTCACCAATTAAGAAACAACTTTGTTCGACCTGTACTATTAACCAGTGTTATCTAGAAATAAAAAATTTTCGGGAATAATTTCACTCTATTAATCATAGAGGAAATTTGATTATCAGCAGCAACATGCTTCTTGGATTATAAATAAAAAATAGTTATACTAATAAATGAATTTTTTTTCTGACCTATTAGTTTGATCCATGGTTAAAAACAAAAAATATTGATGTACGTCAAAAACTAGCCCTGCATTGAGATAATTCTAAAAGCTACAAATACATGAATAATTCTACATTAAATCAACCAATAAAAAAGAATTTTGTTTTTAATTCGACAACTTAGATTTCAACAAGTTTGTAGAGCTTGTTTCTGACTTGGAAAAAGTACCCAAGTTTAGATCCTATGCATAATATTTGTTCCGGAGAACTAAATATTATTCGGTTTTTAATGGCACTTCATAAGATATATAAGACAAAGTTATTTTGAAAAATGATTTAATGTTAAAAACTAAATTTCTAAAAGACTCTAAACTAAAACTTTCACTCTTAATAAAAAATATTTCTTTTTTTACTCAACTCCTTTTTAGCAACGTGCGTGCCAAATTTTATGGTGGTATTCGTAAAGGATTTTAAGGTAGATAATATGTTTTTGAGTTTAACAGTGGCAAATCATGCAATAAAAGCAATATTGTGCACTGTTTCAAGAACAGTCAGTGTTAAACTAAAAAACAAATTTTTTTATGAGTTCATGGAAGTACCATCCCTAAATTTGACAACAAGCATCATTAAAAACGTATAAAATATTTTAAAAAAATAAATAAAAATTCCAATTTTAAGTTTTTTAAAAATGTAATTTTTTTTAAAAAGAATTTTTTAGCGTAAAGAAGAAATAGGTGTTTTTAAAAGATTATTTATTAACAGGACATTTCATCAACAAGTTTGTTTCACCAACAAGATCATTTTTTGACAAGGTAATTTCATTTACATGATATTTTCATCGCATGGCTCGTTTCGTTGACAGGGTAACACGCAACTTTGAAACAACATTTAGGGTTTCTTACATTGCGTTGTACATAATTTGCTTGTCTATGGGCTGAGAAGATTTATTAAATCTAGCTTTCTTTCTAGAAAAACAAAGTTCCTAATCTACAAAATTCTTGTCAGGCCAGTCTTGACATACGCTTCTGAAGCTTGGGCAATGACAAAACTGGAGAAAATTTGTATCACAATAATTGAGAGAAAGATTTTGCAAGGTATATTTGGTGGTGTAAATGAAAACAATAACTGGAGAAGGAGACTTAACTTTGAACTGTGCAAGATTTATAAACAAACCAATATTATTAAATACATAAAAATGAATTGGATGACCCACGGGTTTCAAATGAGTGATGACAATACAATAAAAAAGATACCACTTTATAGACTCACTGGAACAAGAAAGCGGGAAAGGCCGTGGTTGAGATGGGCTGCCTCGGAGAAGTCTGATTTTCTTGCAATTAACGAAAAGAAATGGAGATCAAATATAAACAAGGTTGGCAAGTTTCTGCCTAAGTGGTTAAAACCACTGGTAGAAACTGGTTAAAACCGGCATGGCAGAAACCCCTTTCTACCACAGTTGTGGCAGAAACTGGCAGAAATTCAGAAAATGACATAAAAGTAAGTACTGAGATTGACATACAATGGATAATTCATAGAAAAAACAATTAAATGTTAAACAAAGTACAATTTATTTACAAAATTATCACCATTCAAAATCAAATACAGTACAGAACCCGTTCAGGGTTCCCACTCTTTTATCAAAGCAAAAATTAAGCACTTTTAAGGACTTTTATCAAAAAAATTAAGGACTTTTTTTGTAGAAATTAAGGACCTTAAAAATGATTATTTATCATCAAATAAAACATCATAGATTAATAATAATAGATTAAAAAAATGGAATAGCTTTTCTTCAACTCAGTCATCCTTTAAAAATTTTTAAAAAAAAAACTAAATAAAGAAATCTTCAATACAAATAATCTATATTTAATTAAGATTAAATTGCCTTTAATCACCTCACATAGCTTTTAAGAATATAAAGAAAAACTCAAAGAATTCTGATTAAACATTAAATTTTCTATTTTAAAAATAGAAAGAAATTGTGTAAACAGATAGAAATATATAAATTAAGATGGTAAATTCATTAAATTAATAAAAATATTATTTTGAGTGACTGATACTAAACCAAGACAAAAAGAAACTAACAAATATAAGTTTATTGAGGTTAAGACAATTATTTTAAACCAAGTAAAACCTAATTATAATAAGCTAAAGATATATTAAAATCACAAAATATAAAAAATTTAATGATTAAAATCAGAATATATTCAGTACCTAACGACTTAGATTTTTTAAAAATAATAATAAAAATGTTACAAAATATTTTACATACATTACAAATTTTAAAAAAAAGAAAATGTCCACTTAAATAAAACATTTTTTAAATTATTTGTTG